GACCGTTTCGAGATCACGGTCGACTCTATGGAGCTCTTTTCATTAACAGCTCTTAGGTCGACAAATTTAGAGGAATATATATGTATAAACACTAACGACCGTAAGAGTGAGCATCCTTATGTCAACTTATAGGAATTTTTTTATGATGCATCGATCACGCTCATCCCGGGCCGATTATCTAATCATAAATTTGGTATCACACCAAAGCATAGTACCATGTAAGGGAAAATGTCTCTGTCTTTTATTTCGAGTCAGGGCTTCTACAACACTACCTGCGGATATTGTAATTCTGAGGAAAGAACCTCACGAAAATTCTACTTAAATTCTATCACTTTGACGTGTCAAGTAGGTTATTCGAATTCAGTAAAGCGAGTTTAGGTCAGAGTTAACAAATTTGTTGGATTCGTTCAGGATTACCAAGATCTCATTGACCGTGGCTGGCGACGGTAATGGATACTTGTACTTATGTAGAGGACTTCAAATCTGATTGTTTCCTTGCACGTGTGCCTATAATTATAGATCTGGAACTTGCTTATATAAACCCGACTTGCGTAACAGCTGCTGTCCACAATATACTATAAGGCAAATAGTTTAACATTTTTTTGTTGATCATCTAGTAGACATAAAGGATAACCTTTTCTGTAATAAAAAAAGATTAGATGCAAATAAATTTCAAGCTTCGAAGTCACAACGGAAGGTAGTAAATAGGTTTAATCGGTTCGTTGAAGGAACATACGTGCCCTCCGAAGCATCCGTAGGCGATGATGGACCATCGGAGTAAATATAAACATATGTTTTCAAACAGCGATGTCTGTGTAATAACCATTTCGCTAATTTATTCTTTCAAGGAAACAATCACACGTGAATGGAACAGGGAAAACCGGAAAACAAGTGGGAAAAATTTTTGAAATAATAAAGACTATTCATGAGGCCGAGGATCGAGAGGATTATAAACACAAGTTTAGGGTATGATGCTAAGACGGTTAATTCTTGAAGTTAACCGAATTGCTCTTATAGACATTGTTACCATTTTTGAAATAGATAGTGTTCGAACGATCTTCTTTTACTCAAGAAAAATATCAACTTTATCGCAAATATCAAATTAATATTCACAAAGATCCCGAAGATGAAGTGACTAAAAATGGATTCAGAAGGTTTTTAGTGGAATCTCCTTTACAAGTAAATAAGTTTTTTAAATGCTCTTTATAGCATATATCAATGTGCAAATTTTTTTAGATGCCAATAATTTTAACAGTAATTTCATTTTCAACTTTCTTCTTAAAATAAAGTATGAATCATCCGGGGTGCAAAACACTTCAGAATATGGGTCATTTCATCAATGTTATTTCTTGGATGACAAACTGATTGCGATTGCGGTTCTCGATATTCTTCCTAAGTGTGTGTCGTCTGTTTACTTTTTATATGATCCGGATTTTGGGTTTCTACAGCTTGGAATATATAGTGCCCTCAGGGAGATAGCTTTAACCAAAGAATACTACAACGCTGGATTGGAAAAGTTGAATTGGTATTATATGGGTATATGTCTCAACTTTTTTTTGTCTATAACGAATTACATGAATTCTGACCTACTATCTTAAAGGATATTACATTCATAATTGTCAAAAGATGAAGTACAAAGGAAATTATAAACCGTCTGAACTTTTGGATCGCGTATGTATCTTATACATTAAAATATACATTTATATTAAATTTGTTAAATTAATATCGCTTGTTTATTGTAGGATACATATGAATGGTATCCATTTGAATATTGTGCACGTCTGCTGGATCAAAGTGAATATGTCTCATTTTCAAACCCACCCAATCAAACAGAAGACAATAATGAAAAAAAAGATAAAGAAAATCCAAAAAAATATACATCGCTGTTACCGCCACCAGGGATGCTTGATCCTGAAAGTGTTGCTGATAACGAAATTGAAGATATCAATGTTCTACTACATGATAACAATATGATCCTTCCATATCATGTAAGTTTCTTTGATTCGTGATAGACTAATTTTCTTTCTTTTGCAAATGTTTTAT